TGCAGAGGCATGGGCTGGGCTGGGACTGAAGCTGGGAGCCAAGACCTCAATCCAGGTTCCTCACATAGGTGGCAGGAACCCAATTACCTGAGCCACTGCCTCCCAGGATCTGCATTATCAGGAAACTGGAATCAGGAGCCAGAGCTGGGTATCGAACCCAGGTACTCCAATATTGGACGTGGGCATATTAATGCAGTTAATCCAATGAGCTAAATGCCCAACACAGGAGGGGAGGGCAAGTTTACTGACTCTTCTGCATGTTTCTCCAAATGTCAGAAGTGTTAGCAAGATCATTGTAACTAGAGGATCATTGCAAGGATTCCTGAGATTGATGAAGGACAGCTTTATGTACACTGAGAAATGGTTATGACTCAATAATAACTGGCAACTACTGTTGGCAATTTCACAAACACAATGAAATAAAATGTCATGATGATATTTATGTTGGGTCTTCAGTAAGTTCATGGGAAATGTGTATTAAAAAAACTAGATGTGGTTTGCAAATTTTTGGTCCCCAAATAAACATGTTTTAATTCCATTTTTCCACAAACTTTTTGAAGTCTCTTCATAAAACCCCACGGATACAGCAAAAAAAATGTAATTATCTTGCTTTCTTGTGAGTTGACTTGAAGTGAGTCTACAATCTAGTGAGAAGATGGTGAGAAAGGGACATTCCAGGAAAAAAGTAGAATTTGTACAAGTGCGTAGATGCTGTTCATGGCACATTCAGAGGCCAGCCTGCAGGTGAGCAGCTGAAATACCTTGTCATTTACTTAAGTGTGGGCCTTGATTAGCTCCTCCAAAGGATGGGGAGTCCTCAGTGAAATCCAACTGTACTCATGTGAGGGTTAAAAGTGTGTTTCAGTGAAGATGAAGAGTCTTTTGAGGCTTAATTTTAATTTCACACCTTCTTCATAATGGTGGGACTTAATGGATGCTGAAAAAAAAAATAACTGCTTTTCTGGAAAAATGAGTGCTCAGCCAGCTCTGGGACAAGTTTCTCCCACAACCTCCAAGGGTGCACCTTGTTCCCAGCTTCCGAGACCCTAGTCAGAAAGCCTCCAGCAGAATCCTGCAACACAGGACTGTTCTATTTTTACCCCTCCCTGCAGAAGTCCACCTGGTTCATCAGAGCCTTTGTGTTTTCCTTTTGCACGGTTACTGCACACAACCTGGATGTACACAGCTCTTTCAGGAGGCCCAACTTTCTGCTAAGACTTCCCAGATCCCCAAATCCTCGTAAGAAGAGAGTCAGGGCTCCCGGCAGCAAAACGAGTGACACCTACACTCCACTGTCCTTCCAATGGTGTGGACACTTCTCTTCAGCCAGTCCTCCTGCTTCAGGTCCACCCACCCAGCAACTGCTGACAGGGTCTTTACAAAGCATGGCTCTTATTGCTTCTGAAACCCTCAATCCCTCCTTCCTGTATGATAAACAGATCTTCAATTCCTTTGTGTGCCATTAAGGAATTTGAAAAACGGCTCTCATGTACCCTCCCAAATTCATTTTTCACTGTCTCTAATGTTATGGAGCAAAAGACCACTTCTGCTATAAAGCTGTCCCTTCAGTCCCTTAAACAGAACTACCTCTTCCCCACGCTACAGTGTTTGGATGAGGGCGTGGTATATGGCGGGTGCTAAATAAATATTAATCCTTACAATGCATGGTGCAGGCTTTGGCATGCATGATCCCACTTAACCCTCCTAACAGCCTTCAGTATGGTCTGAAACTGAAGCTCCAAAGCTCAAGCCAACAGAGTGAGCAACAGAATTCAGACCTATCAACCCCATGCCTGCAGTCCCTACTCTACCCTGGACTCCCAGGACATTAGCTATTACTCCAAGCTGAGTTTGGTGCATGTATCTATTTCTGTAAGACTCTGAGCCTTGTAAGGGCCCAGGCCTAATCCATTCATCTCAGAGCTCCAGGTGTCACCTTTCCTGGAGAAGGGGCTCAAGCTTAATGAGAGCCACCTCAAACGAAACGCATTTCTACCATGTGACACTACGAACTCAACCTCCATCATATCTTACATACATACGCATCACTTCCCATTCACACAAACTTCCAAGCACTCATTTATATGTTGGACATAGGTTTGGTGACGTTAGGTGATGTAAACAAGGATCCACAGGAGATAGTGGTGAGGCCAGGCAATAAGATGGTTGTGACTTCCAGCCAACAAGGAACCACTCATCCTCAGCACCACAGAACCACCCAAAGGAGCTCCAGACAGACTGTCACTTTCCCTTCAGTAGAGACATCCTGCTAACCCCAGGACACAGACTCTGGTCACTAGCCTCCCCTGTGGACAGCAGACATACCATACCCTCACTTCTGCCCTGGGGCTGTTAGCTGGCCAGGCTCAGCGTGAGCAGACACCAGGAAATATATTTTGCAGGATGTAACCACCTGTAACTATTGGGGGGAAATGCCAAGGTCCTCGACACTTCACCCACTTACTGTGCTCACCCAAACCCTCTCCTGGAGCACAGCAGGCCCTCAACAAATGCTCTGCAGTGGAAGCATGATGACAGGTCTCATAGCCTCCCAAATAGAAGTGTCTCCTTGATCTTCAGTGGCTGCTTCCCAGCAAGGAGCTCAATCAAGGTGTGGAGCAGTGAATGTCCAAGCTTCCCAGCAAAGCATTGTGTGCCAGGTCCCTCAGCCCTCAGCTCAGAGTCTGGGTGCAGACGCAGAGCAGCTCCCTGTACCCTTCACACCCTTGCCTCCTGCCATGTGCTCCAATGCTAATGGCCTGTAGGAGTCCCCTCCATCAAAACCCAGCACTGCCCAAGACCCACCCCTGTGCAATGCCACCTTTTCTCTCTTAGAAAACCTGTCCCCTTGTCCACTGCCCCCCCAACAAACACTGTTTATTTCTGGGTAGTTCTTTTCTGTTTCTGCATTGCACTGTAATTATTTGCAACAGATCTGTCTTCTCTATCCATGGAGGTCAGTGTCTGAAACAGCCCCAGCACCAAGTGGACTGAGTGGAAGTCAGGCGATGGTCTCTGATTACAGCAGCTCATGGCCAGACCACATAGCTCAGATTCGGGCCTCTCACTTCCTTCTCACTGGCCTAAGCAGTGAGTGGCATAATTAGTGAGGATTCGAGTATCCCTGTGTGCATTTCAGATCTCAGCACTGAGTAGCCACACAGTAAAAGGAAAATGAGGAAGTCCCAAGCCTGAAATTCCATGTTGCAAGAATCTATCCCTAGCACAGCAGACTCATACTAGAATGGCAAAAGCCCTAAACAGCACTCTGGCCTTAGAATCAGCCCTTAAGGCATTTGTATCTGGCTAAAAAGCCCATGAGAGTTTTGTAGGCATTGAAAGCCAAAACACTGTGGCAAAAAAAAAAAAAAATGACCTAAATGAAAGATCTCTGTGAGTGAGATCCCAGTGGAGAGAATGGGCCATCAAAGAAGGCAGTACCTTTCTCTGAAGGGAGGAGAGAACTTCCACTTTGACTATGACCTTGTCTAAATAAGATCAGAGTTGGTGAACTCAAGAGGCTTCCATAGCCTTGGCAGCGCATGACAAGAGCCTCAGGTGATTACTGATGTCATAAATAAGAGTGTCAATTGTTAAATCAATGAGAGTCACTGTGCACCTGCTCCCCATGTAGGACCTCTGCCCTTAATGTGAATTAATGAGAATGCCCTTATGAGAATTAATGGTAAAACTAGTACTCAAACAGTACTTTATACTTTGTGTGTCTCTGTGGGTGCAGTCTGTTGAAATTTTTACTTAGTGTATACTAAGTTGATCTTCTGTATATAAAGATAATTGAAAATGAATCATGATGAAGAATGGGATGTGAGAGGGAATGGGAGATGGGATGGTTGTGGGTGGGAGGGAGGTTATAGGAGGAAAAGCCACTATAATCCAAAAAGTTGTACTTTGGAAATTTATATTTATTAAATAAAAGTTGAAAAGAAAAAAAAATCTATCCCTAAACATCTCACTGTGGGCAACTTTTTGCCCACTGCACATGTGGCATCTTGACATGATCTGATGTACATATGGGGCCACACAAGGAACATGTATGAAGAAGGCTCAGCACAGCACACAGCACCAGCTGTTGTTAGCCCTGTCTGTCTTTCAATGTATGGAATTCATAACATCTCAGCGATGCATGGGGCCCTGGAGATGTTCTGGGACATTTCACGTGGGGCAGAGGCAAAAGACCATGGAGGCCGACCTTTGGACTTTGACCTGACAGCATCTTGGACACAACAGCAGTGTCCTCAACTGGGATCACTGAAACCCTCTGCAGGCAGGCACACCAGCACTCCTCCTTGAGAGACGAAGATTCTGGTGCTCAGGGACATTAGGGGACTTCTAAATCAGGGACAATTTGCCAAAAGTGAAGCCACACGTGCAATCGGAGCCCTCCCAGTATGAGAGTAGATAGTGCATGTCTTGAGACTACCAGAGGTCGAGCAGGTTTTTTTTTTTTTTTTTTTTTTTTTTTTTTTTTTGACAGGCAGAGTTAGACAGTGAAAGAGAGAGAGAGAGACAGAGAGAAAGGTCTTCCTTTGCCATTGGTTCACTCCCCAAATGGCCGCTACAGCCGCTGCGCTGATCTGAAGCCAGGAGCCAGGTGCTTCTCCTGGTCTCCCATGGGGTGCATGGCCCAAGCACTTGGGCCATCCTCCACTGCCTTCCCGGGCCACAGCAGAGAGCTGGACTGGAAGAGGAACAACCGGGGCAGAATCCGGCACCCCAACTGGGACTAGAACCCGGTGTGCCGGCGCCACAGGCGGAGGATTAGCCCAGTGAGCCGTGGCACCAGCCAAACAATGCCCTCTTGATACCTGATGCCCTCCCCAGTTCTCCCGTTCCATTCCATGAGGTGCAGAGACTAAAGCTGCAGCCCCGGACAAGCTCTTCCAGCCTCTCCCTCACACCTGGGATGAGAGGCAGCCCCCACCTGTGTCAGAGATGGAAGGTCATCCCTCTCTCTGTCAGAGATGCTTCTAACTTCATACCTGATCAGGGGCTGCTGCAGAGCCACCAGGGCAGCGTGGATGGTCACCGAGATCACCGACAGGTGGAAGTAGTCGAACATGACTGGGACCTGGTGGTGCAGGCCTCTCCGGGGGTGGAAGTGCAGGCCAAGTGTGCGGCTGCTGATCATTGGGGCCCCAGCCACGTCCCTCAGCCTGGAAGGCAAGTGGATGAGCTCATGTGAGTGACAGTCAGCTGTCCCTGCTGTCATCCAACAAGTGTGTATACTATAGCTTTTCCACAGGCAAGCACTAGGCATGCACTGTCCTACTTAATCCTGCAAACAGTCTGCCAGGTAGAAATCGTTTTGCCCATGATTGGCAGATAAAGGAACCAAGGCTCAGAGAGGGGGAGAACTCACTAGATGTCACACAGCTGTTAAGTGGCAGATCTGAGAGTCATGTACCCATGTCACAAACACCAAACTAACATGGCAGGGATGAGCCAGTTGCCTGGGCTCCTTCCAAGGCTCCTCTCAATCCTGGTCATCTTTTCATCCATCTCTTTTTATTTCCTCCACAGGTGCCCAACACTGTACTTACAGTGATGCCCACCCTAGAAAGCCTTGTTTTCCACCAGAGCCCTACCTCCCACGGACAGGGACTGCAGCTGGCTAGTTCTTTCTATTGCCAACACCTAGCCTGGTATCTGGCATTCCACAGGAGGTGGTCAAATGTGCACACCTTAAAATGAGCCACTGACCACATGAGCAGCTCCAAAGTGCAGCTGTTCAGTCGTCTGTGGCCACTTTTCTCAATGATTCCCCCAGCCCAGCGTCAGCACTCCTCAACGGTACCTGTCTGATCCTTAAAAGATAAAGCAGCTGGCGGCCCATGTGCAGCTCTGGTTATACAAATGGGATGACTCAGGGGAGCCCCAGCACTCATCTCAAGCTCTGAAAACCAATCACTCAGGCTCTGCGGGTTTGTCTGAACCAGAGCACGTGAAACCTGGCTAGAGCGTCTTCTAAAGGTAGTTCAGAGAGGTGTTCCACCTGCCTGGACGGAGAGAGGAAGGTGAAGAGAGCAGCCTGCAAAGACCCAACTCGGTAGGTTCTGCTTCCTTGAAATTCTTGTTACCGGTGGGCAACTGAATGCCAAGTAAAGCAGTCAAAGAGGCTACTGGGGTCCAGCATGACTCCAACACAGACTGCAGGCACCAGCCTCCTCTCCAATGGGAAGAAACCCTCCCCAGTGATGGGCTGGGAGAGATGACTCTCCCCCATGACTCTGGAGAAGTTGTTAACACTTGCATGCATGTGAACCTCCGACAACAACTGTCTGAAGCCTCACTATGAATTCAGCATGGTGCTGCTCCTCTTAATCTGCATTTCCCAGTACTGTTCCATTTATAGAAGAAGTAGTAAAGGCAGCATGATTAATTAACCAGTTCAGAGTCCCAAGGCAAAACTGGACTGCAGACCAGCTTGTTCTGTTTCCAGGTGGTTCTGAGTTACTGCTCACAATCACCTGGCATCCAATCAGACACAAGCTCCTATCACCTGCAGAGATTCCCTTAGGGCTTGAACAATAACAGGTTCAACACATTTCAGGGTTGCAAAGGTGTCTAACTGCTATCCAGAATTTAAGCCACACCAACAGGAGTAAAGACATAAGAAAGAGGGAGGTGATGGCTCTTTTCAGCTCTGAAATGGACAGAATCAACTCCTGGAGATAAAACTCAGTTCCTGGGGATGTGTCTCAATTTAGAAAAGACAGAGATAAGCTTGGTAGCATGAAGAGGAGAATGCCCAGGTTCTTATAAAGGAAATAAAACAAACAGAAAACAGAGACAAGGAGAGGGAGAGGGAGAGGGAGGAGAGGGAGAGAACACCCTGGGATTGAATCTGCAGATAAAGCCATCACATAAAGGACTTTCCTTATCGGAACTGTCACTCAGTCTGAGACTTTTCTGGGTGGCAGCAAAGCATACAATTGAGGTCAACTGAGGGAGTACACATTGCTCCCCAAAGTAAAGAAGCATGTTCTGGTGGCTGGAGCTCTTCAGGAACAACCTGGGACATGATGAGGAGAGTAGCTCCCTGTTCCCGTGCGAGCAGGCGCTCAGACGCCTTTACGGAGCACCACGTTCCAGGGGGGGTGTTGCCCGAGAGCAGGGCTGCTCAAGCTCATTCACACTGACTGTGGGCACCGGAAGAGACATGGTCTGCTGGGAGCAAGGGCTGTCCTGTGCACTGTAAGATGTTCACAGCCTGTCTGGATATCAGTAATGCTCCCCCCAAATATCTCTGGGCACCACCAAATGTCCTAAGTGCAGAATCATTCACCTGCATTGAGAGCCACTGGAGGGAAGGCATCGCAAGAGCCTTCCACGCCTGATCCCTGCTGCCTGCCTCTCTGTGTTGTGCCCACCCTGGCCTGCATGGTGTTACACAAGCCCGCCGACTCAGTCTCGCTTCGGAGCATAATGTCTACCCCCAGGATTTGCTGCAGATGCCTTATCATCCTTAAACCTAATTTATGAAAATGAAAAAATATGACTTTTCCAATCTTCCCCAGCCTCTGGCTTCCTGTTCGTCTTAGCTAATCTTATACTTTATGAAACCACTATGCTCTGATTATTATTAAGTGCTTTGTATTACAGGGAGGAAGCAGCACATTAAAGCCTGGCCCCGCTTGCACCTAGAAAGCTGTAAAGAGGGAGAAGAGACTTGTGATGCAGGTCACGTGCTGGGCCTATTCCATTGTCTCTCACAGCGATTGTAACAGAGTTAACAGGTATGCATTCTGTATGGACGCCAGTTTTATAAATGAGGCTCTGAAGTGCAGAACAGGGCAGTCTTGATGGATATGTCAGAGTGGATGAGAACAGAGCCAGAGATGCTGAATCGCATGCACTTTGCCTGCACCCATCTCCTGTATAAAGGCTGTCCATTTACTACTCTTGCTGGAGAGAAGGTCTCATTTACTGCGTCACCTATGGCTTATCATTGAAGGCCTTTGGTGGGCTAGTTGGAGAATTACTGGTAGGCCAGGTTTGGAATCAACCACAGGGCTCTCTGGTCATCTAGAAAGGAACTATGGATGAAGATCTCTGAAGGAAGATGGACGGGAGATGGGGAGGGGAGGGTTACTGGGGGACTGAATGATAGAAATCCCAGACAGCTGCGGGGGACATCTGAGAGCATCGGAGTCAGGGATGTCACTGCTGAGTTCAGAGGCTAGGAGGAAGATCTGCCTCTTTCACAGCCTTGGAGTTCATTGTGGTACTACAACAAGTCCTGGACATATTGCAAGAGAACAGGATTTCTCAAGCACCAAGGGGAAGCAGATATGCTGAGAGGAGCAGATGGGCTCAGACAAAGACAAGGTGAGGAACCTGGGAGGCTGAGTCAGACACAGTGCCTGGACCTCACACAGGTCTGCCAGCCCAGGATCTGGCAGAGTTAGCTTGGCATCCACAGGTGTCCATTCCTAATACCAGACACAGGTGGGTCCCTGACACCTCTGAAGAAGCCCATCCTTGCTTCCAGTTCCCTCTGGTACAACTTCCCACATTGTGAAAATTCCCATAACCAATAGACAGATTCAGGAACGGGGCAAAGAAGAACATCCCGCGAGGGATTTTGAACCATGATGGGATGGGAGGACCTGCTTCCCAGCATTAGCTCATCGGCCTCCTGGGCCCCTTCTCCAAAGGAAAGGAGCGAGTACTTGTTGAAGAGGCTGTCGAGAGGAGACATGAGGACCACTTTAATTTGCAGAGTGGTCAGAGCGTGCTGAGAGACTGCTCACAGGACAGAAGGGAAAGGAGTTTTCTCTCCCTTCTCTTTAGCTAAAGCAGGAGGGTCTGCCCGTGAGCTTTCTCGGCATGCCCTACAACTGCAGAACACAGGTGCTGGCCCAGCCGTGTCCTACCTTGGGACCGAGGCTATGGGTGGCAGGACTGGCACAAGGGAGAGAGGGCGGCCTTGGGCACATGGTTCCTTGCAAATGTGGGATGCAGTTAACGCACCTGTGCGTGGGTTCATGGGAGAAGTATCTGCCCCCAAGAGCCTCCTGCAGGGAGTGAGGCACCCAGCCACACAGGCTTGACTGTGTCAGAGGCATTGCCACAGGACGGGGCCACGTGGGGGCATGAGGAGGGCTGCCCACGGGGCTTTCTCCAGGGAATTTGCAAGAACCTTGGGAGGAAGATGGGATGGGAGATGGGGAGGGGTGTGTGATTGGGGGACAGAATGATAGAAATCTCAGACAGTGAGGGGTATTTCTGCATCTTTATAAGGGAACTCGAACCAATCATGGAAAACACAATTTACAAGACAAATTTATCGTGGTGCAGAATGTTTTGAAATCCATGATTAGTTTTTTCCATAACGTTCATTTTCTATGATCTTTTTCAAGACCCCTTGTGGCAAACACAGGCCCACCTCACAAGGGAACCAATCAAATACAACTTGTTCCTGCCTCCATTGCCCCCTCCTCATAACCACAATGAGGACAAGGGTGGGGGCAGAAATATCAGGGCCCTCTACCACATACCATTTCAGAACTGGGGGTTTCCTACCCTGAGAAAGCTTGGCTCTGGGAGCAGAGCAGAACAGGGAGACAATGGAAAAAAGTTAGAAACTGGATGAGAGTTTATAGGGTTTTGATATTATGCTCAACTGGGCTTCTTCATTCCTTTATTACCTGAAAGGCTGAGAGTTAAGGCCGCAGTAGGATGAAGAGGACCACAGGGCAAACCCAAAGCAAGTTAGCATATGAAAGAAGAGAGCAACCTCCCGCGTATTTAATCAGCGGGCCTTGCATAAATGGACTTTCCATTTTCAGAGCTTCGAAAGAGAACGTCAGATATTTAGTACAAAGTGCAAAATTCTGGCAGAATCCTTTGATTCAAAAGAGGACCTTGAAGCTTGTAACCTCGCAGGGTCGCACATGCAAAACCCTCAAAGAGTGCTGCATTGGAAATCTATGCCGGTGTCAGGCGGGAGGAAGCCAAGAACTCCGGAGTTTTCTAAGAATAATCGAGCTGCATTATAGTTGGAATGTGCCCATTGATGTTCCTGTATTAGAAACTTAATCCCCAAAGCAAGCGTTGACAGGTGGAGGTCATAGGTCGTGAGGGTTCTGCCTCCGTGGACAGATCTACGTTGTTATCTCAGAGTGGGGATTGTACAGAATGAGTCTGGCCCGTGCCCCCCATCCTTCCACTTTCCTGCATGAGGAAATGTGGCAAGACAGCCCTCGCCACATGTGCGCCCCTCAATCCAGGACTTCCCAGTCTGAGGACACAGCATGTAAGACATAAGTCCCTGCTACTTCTAAACTGCTCAGTCTTGGGCATTTCACTACAGCCACGCCAAGGGACTCAGAAGCTACCTGACTAAAGCGCACACATATTGGGAAGGATCACATCTACATTCTTATTGCATTTCCCTGCTCAGCTGTGACTACAGCAGGGCACTGTAGCTTACGGAGAACTGGATTCCTGAGAGGTATTCTGAGGCC